GAGTCCTTAATCTCTGACTTCAAACAAACAATGATTAGTGAATTTACCTTATCACTTTCAACAATAAGAAAAACAACTCAAAGTAACGCTTTAGTTTCTGTACGTCTAACTAATTATGCACTTTATCAATTAAGCAGTAGTATCTATACATTTACAAATCCATCTTTTTATGATAATTGCAGTTGTGGATCTACAGCTACATGTAAATCTCAATCAAGGATTCTGGACTATGATAGCGGTGCATTATATTTATATGTACCAGGTATTTATATTGGATGTTATATTATTGAGTCATTACTTCAATCTGACCTACGATGCTTTTATAATCAGAGTTGTATAGATGAATTACAGCCATTTTTAGCATCATCTACACGAATGAATGTATCAGCATTTGATAAATCATTGTTAGTTCAATTTGTGGAAAACTCAACAATTCAAGAAATGATGGATGAATTAATGATTGAAACATGGAACTCATCAATAATGTATGATAGTTATTATGATGAATGTCAACCATCACAATGTATTTATACTGTTGAGACAAAGAATGGTGCAATATATATTATCACAACATTAATTGGACTAGTGGGTGGTTTGATAACAGCTTTGAAACTGATTGTGCCACGCCTTGTCAAGTTCGTTAGAAGAAAAAAACAACTGGAAGAGCTACTGCCAGGTAAGGGAATCTCGTAAATAATAACTATTCTTTGCATACACGAGGGTTGAATTTATATTAAATTGATGAAGGAAAATGATAGAGAATTTGAAGCGTGGTGGCAGTGTATCAAGCCAATGTTTTCAAAACGTTTCTATGGAAAGTAGGTGTGTGATTGAACTGGACCCCGACACACACATATATATCAATTTATGTAGATGAGTAAAAATACCCCAATACGAACCGCGCTTTTCGAGTAGTGAATATACCGAGCTATCTACACACTGGCTCTGTTAAAATATTCGCCTTTTATGCTTACACTCAGATTTATAATAGAAGAGTAGACAAACAAGCACATCGATTCTTTCAAAGAAAACATAAATGTTTAGATTCATATGTGTATTTGGAGGGTAGATGTGTTGGTTTGACTGTTTTTCATTGATGAGTTAAAAAGAAACATGCATTCTAATAGGATTCATATGTGAGTGTTTATAATGTATGGGTATGATAGTAACTATTTATGTTACGATGTACACCACGATTGTAATTAGTGTTTGACAGTGTCGGTAGACAGTTTATTTAAATTGTGCAGTCCTGGCTTATTAAGTTCCCTGTTTAGATTGTTGCACAGTTCTAATGACTTTAACGCTGATCATCAAGCTCCCTATTTCCTCAACTATAATATCCAGAAGTTCTCGAAGAGTTCGAGACTACATCGACTACATACTGTTTTTGATTAACCCTTAAGGAAAGAGATCAATTCAATAAGTAATTTCGAAGATCGTGTTTGCCAACCAATCGATTCATATCGTTGAGATTATCGACTTACAGAACTTTTATTTACGAAATCTCAAATAAACCAAGTCTGATTAGATAAAGCTTTACTACACATGTAAACTATTTTTATTAAACTCCTTCTGTACAAAACGACAGGAGTAAGATCTTATTGAGCAGTCGAAGTTAGTTTTCTGCAGTTCCATTTTCATCGGTAAACAGTAGGTCTCTGATAACTATAGATCGAGACTTAGATCACATAATAACGTGGAGAACATTTATTTGTTACAAATAATAATGGCATGAGAATCTTTCAAAGGGCATCCATACAACCTCAAAGTAGCTTCATCGATTCTAAAATAATGCGTGTATGGATGAATAACGACAGCGTATCAGGATAATCTGAGCAGAGTTAAGAATTATTACGTTGAGGTGGTAATCGCAATTTATTTTTTTTTTAATTTTTGCTTCTACTGTGCATGTAGGATTCGATATATTCCTGATTGAAAATATGAAAAACTAACCAGCACAGAAAATAAAGACTATAACTTGTGTTCGTGTCTATCACGTGGCACTGTGGAATGACAATAAAAAATAATTACGGTCATAAGAAATAGTAAACCGCGAAATGTGAGTCGTATGGTTTTTATTTTTGGTCTGTTCTTTATTAGATTGAGCATTCTTGAAAATTACAACTATTTATATGCATCAATGAGTGTTAAAAATAAATTTTTCTAATGAATTCGGAAAAATCACGGGCTATATGCATGACAAAATATCATGTCAAGAAAGATTAATTAAACTTACACTGATGCGAAAATAGTTTGCATTGTAAATAATGAGTCATTTCAATTACTTATTTAATTAGAAAAACAAAATACAAATCGAATACGCAGTATTTTCATATCACACCAACTCTGATTACTCTCCGGACAACTTTTGTTTAGATGAACCCATATTACAAAAGACTGAGTTTATATGTTGCTTAGAATTATACCTTCATCTTCTATCATGGAGAAAAGGAATACACATCGTGTGTGTCGAGAGAAATATTAAAATAACTGTCAAAACTAAATAATGTGTCATTCAAGGAATGAATTTTACGTCAACGTCATAATAGAAACAATAAACATCTTTTTATTTTCATCCCACATAACTGCATTACAATAATTTTTTTTGTAGAGATGAACGTGAAAGAGCGAATCCAAATATTAAAACAAGAATTTATACTCTTTTTTCGACACCTTAATTTTTTTCTATCAACACCACCTTCAACCGATGAACATCAACTTCGGAATCAAAAAATATCAACAAGATTATTCATTATTTTATTAATCACATCGTTGATCATACTTCTTTTGTATAATTCGTTGGTAAATGTCACAAAAACTGTCAACATTCATGCACCTACTATCACACAATATTCACAGTTATACTCAACATATCCACAAACGTTGACATGTCCATGCACAAAAATATCAATTAGTTATGATAAGTTTCTTCATTTTCAATACACATTTCATCCAGTCTGCAATAGTGTTTTTATCACCCAACAGTGGTTTGATTATCTGCCGTCATCTCTTCAAAATATTATCTACTACAACACTGATTTTCGAGCAACAGGCTCATCTACATTTCAGGCATTGAATGCATTTTGTGAATTAGTCAATCAGACAATATTCAATCGTTTACTTCAGTTCTATGCAAGTGATTATATCAGTGCATCTGCCATACCTTCACACATATTTCAAGTACAAACCGAGTCCTT